CGGGTAGGCTGGGGTCGAAAGGTGAAGGCTATGGGTCCGAGCGTGGCTCCAGGTCTGACGCTTCTAGCCTATGGCTGGGGAGCAGAGAACTCATCTGAGGCCTTGGCTGGAAGCTCTGGGTCCGAGGCCTCGGCTGCGAGGCAGGGAGGAGGCCCGGGTCCGAGGCTCAGAGTCCAGGCTGACCGCACTGCCCTGACCCTCCGGGCAGTTCGCTGTGGTGCAGATCGACACCGCTCGGGAGCTGGAGGATGCCGACTTCCTTCTGGAGAGCTACCTGAACCTGGCACGCAGCAACGAGAAGCTCTGTGAGTTCCACAAGACCATCTCCTACTGCAAGACCTGCCTCGGCCTGCCCGGCACCAGGGCAGGCGCCCAGCTCGGAGGCCAGGTCAGCCTGAGCATGGGCAATGCCTTCCTGGGCCTCAGCCTCTTCCAGAAGGCCCTGGAGAGCTTCGAGAAGGCCCTGCGCTATGCCCACAACAATGACGATGCCATGCTCGAGTGCCGTGTCTGCTGCAGCCTGGGCAGCTTCTATGCCCAGGTCAAGGTGGGCCGGGGCCCCGGGGGCGGGTGGGGGAGGGCTCGGGTCCCCTGACACCCTCTCGCGAGCCGCACTCCTCATTCAGGACCTTGCTCAGTCCTCTCATGTAGGAGAGTCTGAGAGGGAAGACTCCCCCAGGAAGGTAGAGACTTACCAGGAAGGGCAGGGCCAGAATTCAAACCCTGGTCTGTCTGCCTTCCTGGGGAAATGGGAGGCTCCTTCTGAGGACTGGCCATGAACCCGTACTGCCCTGTGTTTGCTATGTGGTCTTGGCACCTCTCGTCTCCGAACCTTGGTAGGTACATCTATAAAATGAGGGAGGGTGGGGCCCACCTTCCAGCACGGTTGTAAGGACTCATTCATCAAGTATTTATTGACTCTTTACTCTATGCCCTGCTCCGTGGGCTTGGGAGGCAGGGAAAACAACAGCAAAGCCCGTGGCCTTGTGAAGCTTGCATTCTAGTAAGAGTCAAATAAACACAATCAGTAAGTCAATCACATAGTGTGCTAGAAAGTGCTTAGGAGAAAGGAAAGCGGGAAAAGGGGGTGGGAAGTGCCAAGGATGGGGTGTTGCAATTTCAAATCAGGTGATTGGAAGGCCTCATAGAGGTGTTATCAGTCTGATGATTGGAAGCACAGGAGAGGGTGAGCCATGCAGAAATCTGGCAAGAGCTTGAAAAAGAGACAACAGCTAAAGCAAACCCCTGCCCTGGGTGAGGAGGGGGGCATAGCTGACCTGTTCCAGGGACGGTGGAGGCCAGCATGGCCGCAGCAGGTGTGTGAAAGGGGGTAGGAGGTGGTGAGAACCAAGAGGTACGGGGGCAGGGGAGAAGGCAGATCAGTTTGAACTGATGGAGCCGGTGACCGACGGCTGGTCGAGTGTTTGTTCTCCTGGGACCCCCTAGGCATCCAGGCTGTGCTTGGCCCATGGGGGATGTTGATGCCCGGCACACAGTAGATGCTTAATAAAATCTTGGGGTAAATGGGTGTATAAATGCTGATGAATCAGAGGTGGGATGCGAGGAAATGAGAGTCATCCAGGACGACACCGAGGATTTTGTTTGCAGCAACCACACATAGGAAGAACCCACTCAGTGAGACTCGCTAGATGGGAGAGGGATAGGGTGTTTTAAAACCTTCTTTATTCTGAAGACAATTAACCGTACAGGAAAATCGAAAGAATAATATACTGAACCTCCATATCCCCACCACCTAGATTGAACAATTATTAATATTATGCCATATTTGATTTACATATTTTAACTGAAGTGTTGTGACATGAAATTATAGACATCATGATATTTTACCCCGAAGTAGTTCAGTATGCATCTCTGAAAGAAAAAAAAAAAGACATTTTCTTATATAAGGACACTTTCTTACATAATCACAATTATCTCTTGAATTTCTCTGCTTATCTTGAAAACACGCCTCTACCCTCGGCTTCTATAAATTGGAACACAGACATGAGGCACATGAGCAGTGGGCATTATGTCTCCTAAAGTCTCTTTCAGTAGATTTCTCCCGTCCCCTTTATTTTCCAGGATTTATCTAACAAGGCAGACTGATTGCCCTGTAACAGGTTTCATCTCATGTCCCATTGCTCCCGCAAGGAGTCACGTGACTGGTCCCCCCACCCCCACCCCCCGCCCGCTTTGCTCCCAGCGAACTGGAACTTAGTGATCAGGGAAGACTCGGTCACACCTTTTTGGTGAGAAGATTATGTAGGCGCTGCTGCCTGCTTCATCACATCCGATAGAGGGGGCGACAACCCCATCCCTCGGTTTCAGGGTTAGTGTTTTTTCCTTCCCTGACCAGCAGGTGAACTTGGGGGGCGTGGCGCTCCGGCCCCCTGTGAAAATTCAGTTCCGCGGCCACAGTTTCCATAATGGATTTAGCATCCAGTGATGCTTGTTGCCCGAATCAGTTCTCTTATTTCGACTGTAAGGAAATGGCGATTTCCAAGTTCTACCTTTCCTTCTACAGTTGTTGGCTGGAATTTTCTCTAAGGAAGAACGCTCGCCCGTCAAATGGGGCTGGTTGGCGCCTCTGAAATGCAGTTCCTACAGAAAAAAACGGGGTACTTTTTCCTTTCCTTTAGTTCCCACTTTGATGATGAGGAGTTGAAGTCATAGCGGCCTCCAATGATCATACTTACCTGGTTTGCTTTCTTCTTTTGGAGTACCGTTATGAAATCCTGGATTTTTTTTTTTTTTAAGTATTCGGTCTTCTTCAGTTAATTGCAATATTGTGCTTTGTGATGCTCAAATTATCTTAACTTCAGTTAATGGAATTCCTTCAATAAGTCTCCTGTGTCCCTTTGGAGAGACTTCATTTAAACACGGAAAGTGTTCTTGTTTTCTGCAATGATTAAACTGTCCCAGGCTCCATTTGTATATTCCCTGCCCCGGACCTGCAATCAGCCATTTCTCTGGGCTCTTTTTGGTGGGAAATTTTATTAAAGACCAAATGTGGGTTCTCAAGGTGCTCATTGCTACTGAGAGTTGTGATGACTTCTAAATCTTTTTAGTTGCCAAGACAACTGAAGTTTATGCTAATATTTGCAATTCAAATCTAATGTTTCAGGATTTTCCTTAATTTATTTTAATCTTGATTCTCTTTTCTCTTAGACTGAAAATGTTGGCTTTTAGCAACATAATTACACATTTATTTTATTCTACAAAATACTTTCCAAAGACAATACCAATATTACTTAAAAAAAAAAAGACAACTGAAGGAAGTTTAAGATTTCTTTGCCTTTTGTTCTTTTGTCTTTATCAAATATCCCGCTATGGATGAACTGCCCAAGGACATACATTCCAAGGTCATTTGAAATAATTATATTTTTCTATGTGGTTATATTACTATAATGCAATATAATACATTATAATGTAATAATATCTTATAGCATTATATTTTAATAGTATATTATTACATTATACTAATTCTATAATTAAACTTATAATTAATTAATTATATTAATATGATGATATGCAGTTAGGGTCATTTATTTCCATTTTCTATTTTTAGGGTTTTAAAAAAATAAAAAAATTTTGAAGCTGTAGAACATTTACATGGCTTCAAATTTAAAAAGTGCGTCACACTGGGATCGAGCCCCGCATCGGGCTCCCTGCTCGGCGGGGAGCCTGCTTCTCCCTCTCCCTCTGCCTGTCTCTCTGCCTACTTGTTCTCTCTCTCTCTCTGTCAGATAAATAAGTAAAATCTTAAAAAAAAAAAGTGCGTCACAAGGGGCACTGGGCTGGCTCAGTTGGTGGAGGGTGCAACTCTTGATCTCAGGGTCGTGAGATCCTGCCCCATGTTGGGCATAAAGATTACTTACATAAATAAAACCTTAAAAAAAAAGTATGCAACAAAATTTGTGAGGAACAGGTTTTTATTGGGGTTATCGAGAGTTCTCTTTTGGTCTCATATTAACTTGGAGATGCTTGTTAGATATGAAGTGAAAGATCAAGCAGATTTTCTATGAGAAAGAACAGAGCAATGAGGTTATAGCTGAAGGGGACATGAGATCAAAAGAAGGTTGTTTGAAATTGATTTTTTTTTTTTTAATGAGGCAAGAAATGCCAGAATGTATTTGTACGCCGATGGGAATGATTGAGTGGAAAGAGATGGGGGCGGGGGGCACCTGGGTGGCTCAGTCTGTTCAGCGGCTGCCTTCAGCCCAGGCCATGATCCCAGGGTCCTGGGATCGAGCTTCCTGCTCAGTGGAGAGTCTGCTTGTCCCTCTCCACCTGCTTGTGCGCTCTCTCTCTGTGTCAAATAAATAAATAAAAGCTTTTTTAGAAAGTTCTTTAAAAAAAGAAGAAAGAGCCAGGGGATTTGTTCCCGAGTCCCGTGGAGGGACTTCCATCTGTAGGAGCAGGGAGTCCTCCTCCAGAGTGGCAGGAAGAAGGCAGAGTGGTCCATATCGAGGATTTGGTGGAGAAGGCAGTAGTCCTCTCTGACTCTCTTCTGTTTTCCCTGTGGAGTATGAAGCAAGGTCATTAGCTGATAACAGACAGGTAGAAAGAGCTTTTGGAGGTTTGAGGAGAAAGAAAGGATGAAGGAATGATTTCATTGCCTCAGTGAGTCTGTTCCAATGTTCTTTGGAGCAGACTGTGCTGGCAACCAGTCCCTGAGCCTTTGGTGAGCGCCTGCTGCTGGGTGCCGGGGGGCAAACATTAGCGGGGGGCCTGGTACCCCCCTTTTGTGTGTCTCTGAAGATAAGGGGCCCAACTGGGACGAAGTGAGAACAGAAGCCAACTGTATTTTCTTGCCTTCTCGTTCATCCCTTCATTCAACAAATATTCACCATGCATCTACTAAGTGCCAAGAACTGTGCTAGGCTCTTGGGATGCATCCGCGAACCCGATGAAAATTCCTAGGTTCACGGAGCCCACACCTTTTCAGCGTCTCTTCCTTCTGCCTGGATCACTCTTTCCTGGGACACCTGAATGAATGAGCGAACACCGGCGGGGCCCTGGAGCCCTTGACTTAGGGGCAGCTCCGGCCATTCTGTGGGCCCCTTCTTGTCCCACCTCCTCCCTGTGTCCCCCGCAGGACTATGAGAAAGCCCTGTTCTTCCCCTGCAAGGCCGCAGAGCTCGTTAGCGACTACGGCAAAGGCTGGAGCCTCAAGTACCGGGCCATGAGCCAGTACCACATGGCTGTGGCCTATCGCCTGCTGGGCCACCTGGGCAGCGCCATGGAGTGTTGTGAGGTGGGCCAGGGGGGAAGGTGGGCAGGCGGAGGGTGGTGGCGTGGGCTCGGGTGTCCTCCTCCCACATCAACCCACTTAGGGCCCCAAGATTTGCCTTTGGCCCCCTTCTCCATGTGCCCCGAAGGATGCGTTTGTTCTGCCCACTGCCCTGCCCCAAACCTCACTCCCTTCCAGTCCATTCTCAGGGGGAGGGGCTTCCCTCTGCCCTCCCCCCATACACACTCTCTGTGGGGCACTTTCAGTAGGAAGAAAGCCGGTCTCTGGAGTGCCACTGACCTGGCTTCAAATCCTGGCGTCGCTACTTACTAGCCAGGTGCCCTTGGTCAAATGACTTCTGTCCACTGGATGGGTGTGGTGAGGCCTCAGTGGTTCCATGTGTGGGGCCTCGGCACCGTGCTAGGTCTGTTGGGCTCCGAGGACGTTGGCGATCCCTGGGCTGCCCTGTCAGAGGGGCCCACTGAGTAATGACACCCCAGTGGGGGGGGGGGCAGATGTGCAGGCCTGAGCTGCCCGCCTGCCTTCACAGGAATCTATGAAGATTGCTCTGCAGCATGGGGACCGGCCACTGCAGGCCCTCTGCCTGCTCTGCTTTGCTGACATCCACCGGAGCCGCGGGGACCTGGAGGTAAGGCCCCTGGGGTGCGGAGGGAGGGCTTGCAGGTCTGGTCCAGTCTGACTGCACCCTCCCCCCGGCTGTGCAGACAGCCTTCCCCAGGTACGACTCTGCCATGAGCATCATGACGGAGATTGGAAACCGCCTGGGGCAGGTGCAGGTGCTGCTGGGAGTGGCCAAATGCTGGATAGCCAGGAAGGCGCTGGACAAGGTGAGATGGGGCTGTTCCCGATAGCCCCCGGTTCTCCCCGGTGCTCCCATTTGGAGCCAGTAGGTCAGCCAACACTCTGTGGGGCTGGTCCTGGGCAGGACTCTTTCAGACATTTTGTCTAACATCAGCCTCACCCGAATCCCATGAGCTGAGTACATTCCAAGCCATTTTCCAGACTCAGAGAAGGCCCACGACGTGCCCAGACCCACAACTAGTAAAGGGCCAGAGGTGGGTTGGAACTCAGGATGCTTTAACGGCTTTCACGATTTCACAACACCCAATGAGACAGGAATATTCTTCCCATTCTGTATCTGAGTAAACTGAGGCAACAGGTAACTTGACCACACAGCTCTGTGACTGGGCTCCAGCCTCCTTTTGCTACCTTCACACGCAGGGCAGCTGCCCAGCCATGATGTCCTCCCCAGGCCCGCCCCTCCCAGCCCCTTCCTTTCCTGTGAGCCAAGGCCTTGGTCAGCTCTGCCTGCAGCCCTGGCCTGTGCTTGCCTTCCAGGCTCTGGATGCCATCGAGAAAGCCCAGGACCTGGCCGAGGAAGTGGGGAACAAGGTCAGACCTGATTCTGTCTTCTGGGTCTGGAGTCAAGAGCCCAAGGTGGGATCTCGGGTGTGTGGAGAGGGCTTCCCTGAGCCTGCACATGCCCTGAGCCCTTCTGGATCTCCAGGAGCTGCCCCCACCCATTCCCACACCCTGGCTATTTCTCTTCCACCCACAGAGCACTTTGGAGGGCAGGGCAAGAATTCTGTAGCTCAGAGGACATCAGAATTCCTCAGAGCTTCTTGATGGTCATTAAATCTCCCAACAGTGGGTCCACTCACTAAGAGCTGGGCACACACAGGTTCTTCTAGGTATTGGTCCCACTCCTCACTGTCTCCCTGCAAGGTGGGCACTGCAAGCCCCATTTTACAGGTAAGGAAAGCGAGGCTCAGAGAGGTGCTCCAGGACCCACACTTTGTACCTGGTCTGTCTTAACTCCAAAGCCCGTGGTCCTCCCATAGTGTCTGTGGCCTCTCAAATTTAATAGTTATATCCAAACCTTTAAATGTTGACAATAGGCTCAGTGTTTCTTGAAGCCTTCTAGAAGATACGAATTTCTCTGGAATCCAGTGCACAGCCCAACTAAAATGCCAAATAGATTATAGCCACTCAGTTTTACCCAAGTATCTCAGGTTGGTCAGAAATGCTGATGAGCTGTTGTGTGTATTTAATTAACAAAAACAGGAGAGCAAATTAATCATTATGGTGTCAATGCAGCAGATCTGGTCAATAAAATCCTTCAAAAACATGGGGTTCCCAGCTAGTTCTAGGGGTGAGCACCAACTACCTCACCACCACCCCCCATTCTGCGTGGGGGAGAAGCCAAGGCCCAGAGAGGATGGGACGGTTTTCCTAGGCCCATCAGCGACGCAAGAACGCCGCCAGGACCAGACCGTGTGTGTCCTGACTGCTCGGTGGGCCCTCTGGGACGGCTTCTCGGGCTGGGCAAGGAGGGAGGCTCACCAGTGCTGACGTGGTCTTGTCCCCCACGCCTGCTCTCCGGTCCCTGCTGGCCCCAGCTGAGCCAGCTCAAGCTGCACTGCCTGAGCGAGAGCATCTGCCGCAGCAAGGGGCTGCAGCGCGAGCTGCGCGCCCACGTCGTGCGCTTCCACGAGTGTGTGGAGGAGACCGAGCTCTACTGCGGCCTGTGTGGCGAGTCCATAGGCGAGAGGAACAGCCGGCTGCAGGCCCTGCCATGCTCCCACATCTTCCACCTCAGGTGAGGGCTCCTGGCCGGTGGGCAGGGGGCACCCATGGTCTCTTCGGGGTACGCTAGGGCCCCAGCTGCCCTAACCACAGTAGTAACACTGAATGTAGCGCGCTCTGCGTTCTGAGTGTTCTAGAAGCTTCCCCTGTGATAACTCATGGAATCCTCCCAGTAGCCCTATGAGGTGGCCATCATTACTCCCCCCAAAGAGAATTCAGAGAGGCCTCTCAAAGGCCATGAGATTCAGACACCCAGGGCTAGACCTGCGTCCATGCCAACCTCCTCACTCCTGACCTCCTGGAAAGCCCAGGACAGAGTGCTAAGGGCAAGCAGGGCCGCCGGGAGGAGGCTGGGAGCCCTACCCTCCCCTTTGACACTGTCCCAGCTCCTGCAGAGGGGAGGGGAGGAGAGAGAGCCCAGGCCCAGGATGGAAGCCTGGGTTCAGTGAACGGACAGAGTCCTTTGCCTCCCAAGGTGCCTGCAGAGAAACGGGACACGTAGCTGCCCCAACTGCCGCCGCTCATCCATGAAGCCCGGCTTTGTGTGAGTCCCACCAGCAGTCTTGGGCTTCTGCCTCACTTCCCCCTGCTCCTTGTCCATCATCATGCTGGGGGCCCCTGATTCGCCATGCCTTGGACCCTGTTTACTCCTGGGGCAGCCGCCAGGGCCTCCTCCAACCTGTTGGGGCCCAGGACCTGCCCACCTGTTGTTCGTCCAGGCTCCACTGCCCTCCCTGCCTCTTTGTACTTTGCTCTTTGTAGAAAAATAAACTGTTGGTACCTGAGCCCAGCGATTCTGACTCTTTTTGCCGGTGTGCTGGGGCCAGCACGGACAGGACAGCTTCTTCCCCAACTGGTCTTCTTGACTCCTGTCAGGCAGTTCTGACAAGTGTGAATTTGGGGTCAGCAGCTCCTGTGCTCACACGCAGTCACTGAACAACCTTGGACAAGTCACTTAACCTTTAGCAAATGCTGTTATTTAAAGAAATTTCTGCTTTCAACTGCTTCCAAGAAAACCACTCGACAGTTTCCCACCAAGTTGAGGGGTTCTTTGTGAAGGCTTGACTGAAAATATATGCCATGTGGCTCACATGAAGTTCATTTTAGGGGTGCCCTGGGTCTCGCCTTAGAGTCATAAGCAGAGATCCTCCAGAGCAAGGAACACAGATACAACAAAAACAGGTCTCATATGATCCAGAGAACTGCCCTACTCCTTGAGATGACAAGAAACGATTACAGATGTGAGTCATAATGTTTTTAATTGTAGAGGCTGTTGTCCATTCAGCTCTGCCCACGTGGGCAGGTCTGTGGCGCCTGCTCAGAAGTTAGCAGCAGCAATTTCTCTTTAAAACTGGTTAATGATTCTCTCTGGTAACCTTGGGCATGCCTTTTTTTGGCTCTCTGCACACGGCTGGCGTATGTTGCCTATGGTTTGGGAAGCAGAGCCATCTCGCGAATCCCCTAATTCCTAGCTGCGCCAGATTCTGAGGTCGAATCATTCCTTCCAAAGCACCCTTTCAATTACTGGCTAGATTAAGACTACATTTCCCAAGGGCCCTCGAGGTTCCCATCGCTTCTCCCACCCCTTCCGGTTTTACATCCAGGCTCCGCCCATTGCGCGCACCGACCAATAGCGCATCCACCTGTCGCTCCCGGCTTAAACTGGACGAGGGTGGTAACGTTTCAGGAGCGGCGGGGGGAGCGGATCCTGTGTCCCGGGCTTGGTCTTTTGAATCGGAGAAGCAGATTCGTTATGGCGGTAGCGGCCGGAACTAATTCGGTCAAGAGTCAGGAATTGGAGAGAGAGGTCCGCCACTAGGCAGGAGCAGGCCTTCAGAAAGATAGTATTAATCCTGGCTGAAGTTTCTGTCCAGTCTGATTTTCGGTCTTCTCCTTCGGGATATGAATCTGCTGCCGAAAGTCGAGAGTCCAGTGACTCGGCAGGAGAAGATGGCGACCGTGTGGGATGAGGCTGAGGTGTGCGCCGGGAGAGTTGGGGGTCTTGGAGCCGGGGCCAACGGGAAGACGCCTTTGGCGGGAGGGTAGGAAGTGGTTGGGGGCGGGAGTCAGGGTCTGGCCTGGTCCCGGGGTCGGGGCCGCTTGGAATGTGGGCAAGGGTCTCGACTCCTTCATTTTGGTTTTATGGGCGGGGAAGCTGAGGCTGTGAGTGGGCTGAGGATGCGGAATCCTTGACCCGAGTAAAAAAAAAAAAAATTTTTTTTTTTTGTTTTTTGGTTTTTTTTAACAGCAAGATGGAATCGGGGAGGAGGTGCTCAAGATGTCCACAGAAGAGATTATCCAGCGCACACGGCTGCTGGACAGTGAGATCAAGGTGGGCTCACAGCCCCAGTGGCGGGCAGCGAAGCCCCCACAGGGCAAGCCCTGGAGATCCCAGCAGCGTCTTTCACGTTGTTCTCGGCCTTTCCAGGAAGACGTAGGGCCCACGGATTAGAAAAAGTGAAAAGAAAACTAAGCCTTCAAAGGGACACGAAGAGGGACAGGGTGGCGGGAGGGCAGACCTGAGAGAAGGATTCATCAGACTGCCTTTTGCAGCGAGGTCTTTAAATATTTCTCTTGAGAATCTTTCTTTCAGAAAGTCCTCATTTTACAGATGAGTAAACAGGTTTTTACTGTGGTGAAGTACCCAGCCCTTAATTAAGAAGCAGAAGCTAAAACCTGTATTTGCCTGATTCAGAGCCCTGCTCTTTTCCCTCTGCTACAGCTACCTTCAGGAGGTTTCCTGTTTTGCCCTCTGCTGGATGTGGACACAGGTTCACCCTTCAGAGAGCTTTAGAGCTGAGTGGATGGATGTTGGAAGGTCCCCTGGGCAGCCCGGGCCTCACCAATTACAGGGCCCTAGGATAAGCTGAGCCCAGGCTGAACATTTGCTTCCACTTGCCCTCATCCCAGATCATGAAGAGTGAAGTATTGCGAGTTACCCATGAACTCCAAGCCATGAAGGACAAGATCAAAGAGAACAGTGAGAAAATCAAAGTGAACAAGACCCTGCCGTACCTTGTGTCCAACGTTATCGAGGTGTGTGTGTATGTGGAGGGGAAGAGAAAAGGGTCAGCCAGGCTTGGAGGCAGCCTGCGATGGGGCCATTGGAAAAAGAGTGGGTGAAAAGTTTTGAGGCCCAAGTTGCACGTTAGAACTACACCTCCTGGGGCCCCCTCCCTAGTGGGCATTTCCAGGGTGGTATATATACACATCTAGACACCCTGAAAAGGCCTCAGAAGCCACACATGTTTCCTCTTTACTTGGGAGGTAGAGAGCTCTTGGGGGACAGAAAAGCAACACCTAAAGGGATCTTATCAGTCCCCTGGCTTATCAGCCACACCTTTGCTGAGACTGGGGCTAGTCTGAGGAAGGGGGTGGATTGTTTTCACCTGGGAAGTGCTAGTCTCTGAGGAGTTGAGGGGGCTGAGCAGGGCCTCTTGACCTGAGCTTTTTCCCTTCCCAGCTTCTAGATGTTGATCCCAATGACCAAGAAGAGGATGGTGCCAATATTGACCTGGATTCCCAGAGGAAGGGTAAATGTGCAGTGATCAAAACCTCTACACGACAGGTGAGGCTAGCTCAAGGATAGAACTAAGGAGGGTGAGGCGTGGAGGTGGGACAGGACTAGGGAGCTTTATTATTGAAGGCAGTAACTGAGATTCAACCTAGAATTTTTCCTACAGACATACTTCTTGCCTGTGATTGGGTTGGTGGATGCTGAAAAGCTAAAGCCAGGAGATTTGGTGGTGAGTGGTGTCCCTGAACCTGGGCAGGGCTTTTCCAGTGAGGTTTCTCCCACTGACTAGCTGAGCCTCTGCCGCAGGCCCCGGTCACTGTTGGCCCTGAACCTTGGCAGAGCAGCCCGGGGAGTCTGAGCTCATCAGCTTGCTCTTTGGTTCTTGTCTTCCCTAGTCCTGTATTTTCCTTTCACTTTACAGACACCTGCCACCCAGCCAGTTAGTTAGGTCTTGAGCTGGGACAAATCTGAAGGCTTTGTGCTCTGTCCCCAGGGTGTGAACAAAGATTCCTATCTGATCCTGGAGACCCTGCCCACAGAGTATGACTCTCGGGTGAAGGCCATGGAGGTGGATGAGAGGCCCACAGAACAATATAGTGACATCGGGGGCCTGGACAAGCAGATTCAGGAGGTGAGGGAGGCACGGGCTGCTAATAGCATTGCCCACCTTTTGTGTTTTTCTGCTTCATTGACCAGAGCACTTACTGCCAACATGCCTCTTATAGCATTCCAGGGAGGTAAGGAGGGTGCCGTGTAACAGTTTAGGAGACTGAGGTCCAGAGATTAAATGACTTGTTTTTTTTTTTAAAGATTTTTATTTATTTATTCATGAGAGACAGAGAGAGAGAGAGGCAGAGGGAGAAGCAGGCTCCCAAGGAGCAGAGAGCCCGATGCGGGACTCGATCCCAGGACCCTGGGAT